TAAATAAATAAAATCGTTATTTATACCTTAGTTCGGATGGTTGGGCCCACACCTTATTTGAAGGTGATTGGGCTTCGGTGGTAGTAGTCTTCAATATTGAGCTCGTGGCCCAGTAGATAAATAAATTATAGACCCATTAGGTTGGCGCAATTAAATATATCACATATACACATAGCACATATAAATTGAATCAACACTTTTAGCTCTTTAAATTTTGGCCGTAGCACATACATAACCAAATTCATTAATAGACAACCAATTCAAGCATTTAAGCATCAAATTTCGTAAATCAATAACCAAATCAATCATTTAAGGATCCAATTTCACAAATCAAGCATCTAATTCCATTAAGCATTTACATTACTTTGTAAAATATTTAAGCAAATGTAAGCATCCACTTTCACAAATTAAATATTTTTTTAAACAAATTACTTTATAAAAGGTCTATCCTCCCTAGGGGTGGATATCAGACGGATCGGATCGGATTTGGGTGTTTTGGAAAAATTCCGATTTTTTTCGGAAGTCCAAAAGGCTTTCCGATTCCGATTCCGTTTTTTTCGGAATTTTTCCATAAAAAAAGAGAAAAATATGTAGAAATACATATAGTAATATATATATATATAGTAATAAATAATAATAATAATAATTGGAAATAATCGGAATAATTTCGGATCGGAAATTCCGAAATTCTGTTATGTATTTCCGATTCCGATCCGATTTTTTTCAGAAATTTCGGAAATCGGAATTTCGCAAATCGGAATTGAAAAAATCGTTCCAAAATAGGAATTTTTCGGATCGGATTCGGCGGAAATTGGAATTTTCGTTCCAATTTCCACCCCCTACTCCTTCCCTATACAACCCCGTCTCAATCCTATTAATTCCTTTGGTGAATAGACCCCATGGTTACATAGATGAATGCCGCCGTTCAATGATCTTGAGATCAAACAACATACAAAACAGGTTCAAAATACACTAATCATGAAGTTTTCGTCCGGTCGTCCTAGTATCCACGATATTCGTGCATTTATTATTGACTCTTCAGGGAAGGTGGTTGTTTCTCCTACGGGAAGTTCTATCAATACATTTCAACAAAAAGATGCTCACAATTTTGGAAAATCTCCAAAAAATGATAAAAACACGGGATTTTGAAAGCTATACAGCTGCTGAAATAAGGTGGTCTCGTTAGCGAGAAGACTACGCCACAAAATACAACAGTGTTCATACAGACAACAGATTTACCGTATTGACTACGGAGGATTTAGATCACGTGTGGAGATTTTGGGTCGGATCAAAACCAGGGCCGGTCAGTGTGGATTTTACACTCATGTTTACTTTATGTGGATCTTTTGTTTAGATTTAATTATATTCGTGCTTTAACTGATTGATTTTGTACTTTACAGGTGAAAAACGAGAATTAAGTGTCCATGAAGAAAAAATAATAAAAAAAGAATGGGAAAAATTGCATATAAGGAAATAAATCAAATTGAAAGAAGGAATTTCGCCACAACTTTGGCAGTGTCCACCATTTCGAGCATATCTCTCTCATACGAACTCCAAAATCACCCCATTCAAGCTGCATTGCAAAGCTAGTTTCAAGGGCTACAGTTTTTATTTCACGCGACATTCCATAATTCAGGCTCCAACATGGTCAAAATCGAAGAACAAATCCTAATAGGGGAAAATGGCGAAAATTGATTTCTATTAGTTTTTCACTACTTCCTTATCAAGAAAAGCTTATAAAAGCAACAAATCTCTACACCACAAGCACATAATTTTACACCACAAAACACGAAGAACGAAGACTCAAGCATAGTTTTTCTTATTTAATTTATTTATACTATTTTGTTTATGATAAGAATTACGAGTAGCTAAGTTTTTAATCTAGGATTTTATTAGAACCCTATGTGGTGATTTGAACCTATTTTTCTAATATTATGCAGTTTAAATTCCATGATTATTTCTTCTATCTGATCTTATTTAATGCATGAATCTAGTTAATATATGTTGCTATGTGTTATTGTTAGAATTGAATCGACATGTCGTTTTAATAATTAGAACAAGGATAGAAGAGCATTTGAGTAGTTTTCACTGGAATAGTGTGTTAATTGCATGTGTTACCATAGACATACATATAACACCTTAGCCGTTTACGAGACTCGTTAGTTAATGATTTATTCATAATTGGTTTGCATAGACATATAGTGAACTTTTTATGAATAATAGATTTATAATACACACGAAAACGGGTTATGAATAATTTAGTGTTTCGGGTTAATAATCAGGAACTTGCATGATAGAGGTTTAATTGGGTGATGAATTATTGCATAGGGGAAGATAAAATCCTAGGTCCGTTTTTATTGATATTTTTCTCGTGATTATTTTCTTTTATAATTAGTTGATTAAATTTGACAACCTTGCGTAGGCTGGATAAAAATCATAATTGTTAGAATTAGGTACTTAGAATTAGGTAATTTGAGTATTCCATGTGGGATCGACATCCGACTCTTACGAGTCCACTATTACTACTTGTTTGCGATACATGCACTTGCTTGTAGGTATTTAGCCCAACACTGGCTCAGTTGCAGAGATCAACAGAGCAAGCTGGCTTCGTTAAGGATCGTAGCATAGCTACCCATGCGGTATTGGCTCAAGAGTTGATCGGCAATCTTAATCTATCATGTCCGTGGGAACTATCGTCTTGAAACTGGATATGGCTAAGGCATACGATAGATTAGAGTCGAGATTTCTTCTTAAATCTATACAAGCTTTTGGGTTTTCCCAGCGTGCGTCTGACCTCATATATCGGAATATATGCAACATTTGGTACACTTTTCGAACCAATGGGGAAATTGTCAACAAACTTCGGTCATTTCGCGGGGTTCGACAAGGAGATCCACTTTCGCCGATGTTTATTTTGGCCCAACAAATATTATCGGCAAATATTAAGAGAAGAATTCATGAGAATCGTATTACCGATTATACAGTGGGACGAGGGGAGATGAGTATTTATCACTTGTTTTACGTGCTGGTTTTCGCTAACGGCTCGAGCAGGTCTATTCAATGTCTCGTACGAGAGATCCTCCGGCCAGATGGTGAGTAAATCTAAGAGTAGTATGTATTTGGGAAAAGATGCTATGCCAAATCAAGCTATGCTGGATATCATTTGTGGCATTAATCTCCATTTTCTCCCACTTATATATATGGGGGTTCCCATTTTTACTGGCTGGAATAAATCGGAATATTACGAACATTTGGTCTCTAAAGTTCGTAAACGTTTAGTGGGGTGGAAATCGAAAGTTTTATCTTTCGGCAGAAAGATCACATTGTTGAAGTCGGTCCTCACAAGTATACCTATATATACTATGGCTTGTGCAAAAATTCCCAACGGAATTCTTCGCCGCGTTGAGCAACTCATGGATTTCTTCTTATGGAGTTCTAAAGGTGAAGCTAGATTTCATTGGGTGAATTGGCCAACTGTCTGTCTTCTTAGGGATTCACAGTTTATATCAAGTGCATCAATGTTTATATGCTAAGTTAATGTGGCGTGTTCTTCAATGTGAGTCATTATGGCCGGGCACGATATTGCAAAGAGAAATATTTTCGAAACGGGAAATTGGTGTCTAAAGTCAATAGCTCGGCGATTTGTTACGGCATTGATCGCGCTGGATTGTCGGCCGCGGTGATATATGTTCTTGGGGAGAAAATTGGGCAGGGTAAAGTCTGACATGCCCATCCTTTTATGACCGATATATGAGGTGTGAGTACGGTATTCATCATCTCCATCAAACGGATCTTCATGCGGCTGTTAGAAAAATCTCGCTTAAAACTGTTGTGGATGATTGTTTAGTGTTCACGCTACGGATTCGGATAATTTCTCGTCGAAGGAATATTGGGAGCTCATTTGAGATAAGGGGGCTTTTCGTTTCTGGCCTATGCGCGTATGGCGCAATTGTATCCCGTTCAAAATATCAGCCTTCGTGTGGAAACTTTTGCATCATGCTATCCCGGTGGATCAGCGTATTCAATCCAAAGGAATTAACATTGCTTCGAGATATAGCTGTTATCCAACTCCTCGGGAAGAAACGCTTCAACATCTATTCCTCCAATCGGATTGTGCGGGGTACAGGTTTGGCAATACTTTGAGAATTTTTTCGGCATCCCCCACGTGGTTGATTCCTTTCTCTGAGTTATTAATCTTTGGCCCCCGCAAAAAAAATATTAATCTTTAGTTTGCCGCAGTTCGATCGAGCGTGTGTTTTCTGATTTTTAAGGAACACGAGCATGTCACTATTATTTGCAAGATTAAATATCAGTTACATACGGTGGCTACTGTTTTCGAGCCCAAGCAGCCATCTACTGCCAGGCAAACTCAGGTTTTAGAAGCTCTCGGACTTGCGATTAATCAAACAGCGCCGAGGAAAGGAACTTGGCTTCGGTGGGATCCTCCATTGTCGAACTATAAACTCAACGTAGATTGTTCGGCAAGAGATGGGATTTGTACATGAGGGGTGATTCAGAATGGTAATGGCAGATTTATCGCTGGTTTTTCGGCTAACTATGCGGTTGGCTCTAACAGTTGGAAATGAATAAGTTAGATTCATTAATCAAGTTTAAAGTATTGATGGTTCTAGAATTCATGAATGTGGAAGAATACATGAATGTGTCTTTTGGAGAGATTCATGTATAATGCTATGGAGGAAGAATATATTAATTATGTGTTCATGTATTTGTTTAGATACATGCTAGTAAAATCGTATAAATAGTCTATGTAGTTTTTCATTTGGAGCAAGTAAAAAAAAAAGAAGTATTCTAGAGAGAATCAAAAGAGAGTTCTTGAGTGAGTTTATATATTCGTGTTGATTGAGCGAGTAACATATTTTTATCTCCTCTCCACTACTCCTCCTCTCTATTTTAAGTTATTCCGCTGCGTGTTTTCGATCTATATTATTAAATCGATCCAACAAAGTGGCATCAGAGCCACGTCTTAATAGAAAAGATCGATGGCAACCACAAATGGAGCTTTCCCGTTTCAAAAGCTTGCAAAAGAGAACTATGATCGATGGAGCATACAAATGAAAACTTTCCTTGATGGACAAGACGTTTGGGAAGCCGTTGAAGAAGAATATGTTGAACTGGAAAATTTAGCTTCATTAAGTCAAGCCCAAAGGAAGACATCCAAAGAAGCCAAGGTGAAAGATCAAAGAGCGCTATCCATCATCCAACTCGGTGTAGACGATAGTAACTTTAAGAAGATTTCTCAAGCTACTACGGCGAAGCAAGCGTGGGATATTCTTAGCGATGCTTTCAAAGGCATTGATAAGGTGAAGAAGGTCCGACTCCAATCACTTCGTGGAGAGTTCGAGTCTTTGAAGATGAAAGACTCCGAATATGTTTCCGACTACGTCTCAAGGGTGGTTTCAATCGTTAACCAACTTGAAAGAAATGGTGAAACAATGGAAGAGAGAAGAGTCGTCGAAAAAATACTTCGATCCCTTGATCCTAAGTTCGACTACATTGTCGTAGCAATTGAAGAGTCAAACGACGTTGAGAGCCTTAAAGTGAACGAGATAGTGGGCAAGTTACAAGTCCATGAGGAGAAGATCAAGAGGCGAAACAAAGGGCCCGAAGTAGAACAAGCCCTTCAAGCAAAGACGAACCTTGCCGACCAACCAAAATACGATGGTGCTCGATTTCGTGGCAGAGGTAGAGGCCGTGGTCGTGGACGCGGTCGTGGTCGTGGCAGAGGTCGTGAAGGACAATTCTCGTACAACAATGATGATACGAAGCAAGAGAATCGACCAACAAGAGGTCGTGGACGAGGAGGATTCAATCGGCGTCAAGACAAGAAAGATGTCGAATGTTACAATTGTCACAAATACGGACACTATGCTTGGGAGTGTCGAAATGAGTTAAATGATGAAAAGAATCATTATGTTGAAGCAACGGAAAAGGAAGTTGCAGAGATATCCCTCTTGGCGTATGAGGTATTGACAGACGCAAAAGATAACTTGTGTTATCTTGATTCTAGTACAAGCAACCACATTTACGAAAGTAACAAAGTTGAGGACTCACTAGTAGCTGAATTAATGGAGCAGTTAAAACAGAAGTCCCTTGAACTTGAGGCCAAAGATACAAATAATCGGAAGATTAAGGAGAAACTCAAGCGAAAGACCTCAGAATGTGCGGAGTTGCAAGAAACCAATGTCAAATTGCAAAAAGTGATCTCTCGTACTGTCGAACAGAGAACCTTCATTCCACCAACTAGAAATGTGAATGAGTCAAATAATATGTTGCTCCTACAAGCTCAAGCAAGAGAGATTGAAGAACTAAGGAAACAATTAGTTGAAGCAACCGAGTCAAAGAAGGAGCTAGAGCTACGCAATAAGAAACTTGAAATCGAAAGTTCGTACGCTAATAAATTAGCATCAACTGCCGTAGTTGAATTCAAGATTTTGTCTCAACAAGTTGAGGAGCTAGTGAATCACAACAAGAAGTTAATGAAGCACAATGAAAAGCTAATGAATCACAATGAGATATTAGCTATCGAGATGCAAGTTGCTTTGGCAGAAAAAGATCAAGTAGAAGCTGAATATGTGGCAGCGACATCGAGTGTATGTCATGCAATATGGCTAAGGAACTTACTAAAGGAGCTCAATTTTGCTCAAGAAGATTCGACACAAGTTTTTGTCGATAACAAATCAGCAATTGCACTAGCGAAAAATCCAGTGTTTCATGATCGAAACAAACACATTGATACTCGATATCATTTCATCCGAGAGTGCATTGCAAAGAAAGAAGTTCGTGAAGTCCGAAGATCAAATTGCCGATATCTTCACGAAACCCCTCAAGAGAGAATCGTTCGAGAAGTTGAGGAGTCAACTTGGAATGCGTGAATCAAGCTTAGGGGGGCATGTTGGAAATGAATAAGCTAGATTCATTAATCAAGTTTAAAGTATTGAAGGTTCTAGAATTCATGAATGTGGAAGAATACACGAATGTGTCTTTTGGAGAGATTCATGTATAATACAATGGAGGAAGAATATTATTAATTATGTGTTCATGTATTTGTTTAGATACATGCTAGGAAAATCCTATAAATAGTCTATGTAGTTTTTCATTTGGAGCAAGTCAAAAAACAAGAAGTATTCTAGAGAGAATCAAAAGAGAGTTCTTGAGTGAGTTTATATATTCGTATTGATTGAGCGAGTAACATATTTTTAACTCCTTTCCACTACTCCTCCTCTCTATTTTAAGTTATTCGGCTGCGTGTTTTCGATCTATATTATTAAATCGATCCAACACTAACAAACGTGGAGAGCTCTTTGCTCTAATTGATGGACTGAAGTTATGTCACTCTATGGGCATTTCTGCTCTTGAAATTGAGAGTGATTCCTTATGGGTCATCAATATTATTCGAGACGGTAAACAATGCAATCGGGAGCTAAAATATTCTGCCGGAGAATGCCGTGGTCTGATGAGAAGTTCGTTTACATGCACTCTTATTTATCGTCACAAAAACATTGGTGGCGGATCGGTTAGCCGATTGGGGCCATTCTAATCAGCACATGCAAGAGTATTTTAGAGAAAACGATCTACCTCGCACAGTTTGGGTAGCTTATAATCTTGGTGTATGGAATGCCATGGCATGATCAGTTCTAACATCAAAATCAAAAGTCCATCTTTTTCGTCTCTTTCGAATCCTACATCAATTTACCAATCAATAATTAAATTATTTCGCATGCAAAGCCATTTTCATCCTCATACTCATATGACGAATCATTTACCACACTGTAAGGCTCTGATTGGTTCATGGATTTTGAAATTTGGAAAATGAAAACGCAAAGAAAAAGAAAATCAAGTAATTTTGAAATCTCATTTATGTTTGGTTACAACGAAAAAAAAGTTGAAAATGATTTCTTTGAAAATCAATTTCTTTAGTTTTGTTTGGCAACATAGACAAATCACTCCAAAAAAATGTATTCTCAGATTTTTTTTTTTATGAAACACTAAAAAATAAAATTAAACCAAAACAAATGCTTATAAAAATCGTGAAATAGTTTTAAAACAATTTCTCGAAAAAAAAAAGAAAAATTAAAATAAATACACTTAAAAAAGTATTAAAATAGATCTAAAGCCAAGGCACCGCACCCGGCCCCCACCACCCCTCATGCCCACCACCCCACCACCACTACCACCACCACTACCACCACCACCACCACCACCACCACCGTGAAGACGTACAATATCACCTTGTACAGTTCCAACGGCGAGTCGGAGGTCTCGTACGAGGTTCTGAGCAAGTGGGGCGAGTTCTCCGGCGGGTTTATGACGATATTCGCCACGTTGGGATTGCCGACGGCGGCGGGTGCGGCGGAGCTTAACCAGGTCTGGTCCAGATGAAAGATTGAGCGGTTTATGGCGGCGAAGGAGAGGTTAGTGGCGGCGGAGGAGAGGTTAATGGCGGCGGACGAGAGAAGAGTTGGCAGCGGAGGAGAGGTTCCGGTGGTGGTGGTGGTGGAGATGGAAACGGAGATGGTGGCAATAGTCGGCGGCGGCGGTTGGCCGACGAAGATGTTGTGAATGAAATTGAAAATATAGTGGGTAGGTGGAGAATAATCATCCCCGATCTATTTTCCCACTTTTCCTCACTTTTTTTGAGGAAAAAGTTTTTTCCTTATTTTAGGTTAAAAATATTTTCCATTTTTCCCCCAAATTACTTTACCTACTAATTTACATTTTAACCAAACAAGAAAATTGGATAACTTTGACTTTTCACAATTTTACTTACCATTTTCTACAAACTAATCAGAGCCTAAACGTTATAGCAAATATATAAGGGTTAAATACAATATGTACCCCTATAGCAACTGTCGCAATTACCATTCAGTTTACAATTGTTAGTCTTTCTCTTTCCGTCCATTAAAGATGATGTGGCACATTGACCAAAGTCATTGATTTTCTTCAGACAATTTTACCCTTCAAATTAAATAATAAAAGGGATAATTAGCTGGATCCACCTTATTTGGAACTTATATGGTTAGGGGTCTATTTTGTAAGTTGATTATAGCTATAGGTCCCCTGACCAATAAATGTTATATAAATTAAATTAAATTATTTTTCTATTGACATAAATACGCTTAATTATTTTTTATATTAAAATAGTTAGTTATGAAAAATATAAATAAAATCTCACATTTCACTATATATCACTCATTTAATTATTTCTCTCTCCTCTTCACGTCTCTCTCTCATTTTCTTTTCTCCCCTTCTCTCTCTCTCTCTCTCTCCTTTCTTTTTTATTTTTTATTTTCAATAGTCTCACGTCTCTCTTTTCTTTTCTTTCTCTCATTACTTTTCTTTTTTTTTCTTTTTTTTTTCTAAGTTGTGTCAAGTTACAATAACAAATTGCAAAATACAATTAACAAACTGCAATTTGTAAAAGCAAAAATAAATAGCAAAATAAATATAATACGAAACCACCTACCATATGTCAGAAATATTATTTTACAAATGTCTTTTCACAACAACACAATATGGAACTAATGATAATTTTCTCAAACATTAGTACTTCAAGTTTTTTTCTCCTCAAACAATATAAATATTTTTAAAAGATAAAATATGAAATAAAAGATGATATAACAAACTAACAAACCATTTTTGTCTAGGAATAATCAGTACATTAAATACAAAATATTGTAAGATACAAATCAGTAGATACAAGCAGTGTTGCAATTTAGTGTTGCAATCGCTGATTCTGGCTGGCGTGATGTCATAACGGAAATAGGCTCGACGTCCTACTCAATTCACAACTTCCAAACGTTCTCGAGGATCTTCTAGAAACTTGATCGTGTCAATATGAGTTTTGGAAAAGAACCAAAAAATATGTGAAACCTTCCATAATTATTCCCAAGAAAGAAAAAAAAAACTAATATTAATTTGCAATAAGGAGCTGCATATTAAAAAATGCAGAACGCCAAAGTCAATTAAGAAAACGAAAAATGAAAACCGCAATCAAATAAAACGTAAGGGACAACCAACAAACTTCAAGTTGCAGACAATAGCATAAAAAATATAAACTGCAACAACAACGACGACAACAACAACAACAACAACAACAACAACAACAACAACAACAAAAACATCAATAACAAAATAGTGGCAACAACAACCAAATAAAAGTATGCAAATAACCATATCCAAATGCAATTGTCAACAAAAAACTGCAAAATGCAAACTATCCACAATGACAACAAGTAATTTTCAACAAGTATTTTGTTATGATAGATGAAACCATTTGTTATAACACCAAACTGCAAATATTACAGTAAAGTGCAACTTATACTATGATAACAACAAAGTGGAAATGAAATATAATATAAAAGCAAAATCCAAAATATACAATATACAACATACATTACAACAGCAAGTGCAAAATACACAATAAACATGAAAGTGCAAAATACACAATAAACATGAAAGTGCAAAATACACATAAAAACAGCAAAATAAAAAACAAACAAAAAAAGACCTTTGCAGAAAACAAAATTATTACATGGGGTCGTAGGCTCCAAATCTCTATCTTTCACTTCATTCATAAAAAAATCCATTGGATTTCGTCAATGAATCGCGATTTAAAAAGAATGCAATATATAGCAAGTTACCTGTACGTTTTTTATTTTGCACCATCTTCTCGGTTTCCAGACCTACAGACTCTCCATCGATCTCAGCAATAAGGGTCTATGATTGCAGAGTTTGGGTTGAACTGAATAGGGGGTAGTTTTTGCATGTTTCAATTTGACGAAATTTGCATATTTTTCCCCGCTGTGTTGATATGCAAATTTACTACCTTTCCATCGATCTGAGAATTAGTGGGATGGGGTGCGTTGAAAGAAACGAGAGGAGAGGTTTTGCAGTTTCAATCTCACGATTTGAAATTTTTTTGCTTTAATTTTAGCAAAAACCTGATTTGGTGGATAATTATATTTAGGAAGAGAATTTACCTATTTTGCTGCAAAGGGCAAATCAGCAAAAAATATTAGTAGGGGGTTTTAGCAAAATAAGACTTATGACTTGGACTAGTATCTATATAGTCTTAGAATGTATAATGTATAAAGTGTAAAATGTATAAATATTTGAAAATTGTATAAAATCATACAAAAATTATTTTTTACTTCTGAGTCGAAGAATTTATAAAATGTCATTTTAGACATCATTTGTTTCATCTTTATATTGTAATTTTCATATTTTCCCCAAAATTAATTATATTTAATTTGTTCAATCAAATTCCATAATATTGTAGTATATTTTAAGGGTGCAAATTTAGACCGGATAGTCTGTTTTAATAAGAAAATCGGATGCCATAGGATGATTGACACGTGGATAATTTAAATTAAAATGTAATTAGTATTCTAATAATTGGAAAAAAAAAAGGAAAAAAGAAAACCCCAGCAGAACCCGTAACACCTCTACCCCTAATTATAATAGCGTGATTTATTAAGAGTTAGACTTAAAAGTGCCACATGTCAAAAAATTAGTGGAATCCGATTTATATTAAATATCGGCTCATCCGTTCATAATTTAATCTCATATTTTAAACCAACAAGATAAATACTTCACCACCTCGAAAAACCACAACATAAAAAAACGCATGAGTTCATCAAATGAAAACACCAAGAATGCATAGAGACAAAATTTATGTAGAATGGTTGGATGGAAGATGGGTTTAATAAACACACTTTCTTGGATTGTCCGATTGGGTGCAATTAGTTTTGTTCTTGGCAGATTAGGGCACCATTGATTGATTTTTTGGACATTTTCTTCCCCAACATAGCCCCCAAGTTATCGTCTTCTTCACTCAACCCAGATGCGTCGTCACTACCCATGGGAAATATTT